GGGCGCGCGCGCAGCCCGCAGCCGCAGTGATCGACCGAATGTACTCCGCCAAAAGGATGGGGCAGCGCCGGCGCAACTCACTGGCGTGCTCCAGTGCACTTCCTTGGCCCGGGATGGGCCCCGATAGCGGTTCTGGCGGCGTCGGGGCAGCCCAGACGTCGCATGCGCACTCCTGCGGACAAACGGGTTGGGGCATCCTGTCGTCAAGCGGCAAACATATCTGTAATTTATATAGGGGGGATAATAAAAAAAATGGACCTCCAAAAGACCTGGGTTTCATACTCAAAAAGACCTGGAAAAGCATCAAACCTGGGAATCAGACCAAAAGACCTGGGTTTAAAACCTGAGCATCGGACTTCACTAAGATCCGTTGAATCAAAAAGTTTGCACTTGAAGTGCAATGTTGAAGTTCAATTACCACGTTTCCCCGATCTCTTTGCCCCCCAAACACCTCCAAATCGCCTTTTTTCGACATATAACGAGCTTATGTTGACATGATTTGATATAGGCGACCAATTTTGCCGAGGTTCGACGACCACGGCCTTCCCTAGGCGTACTGGCGGCCCAGGATAGCTCCCTAGCCGTACTCCGGCCGGCCAAGATAGTTAGTTACTTAATTCCTATGGGGGCCCCTGGCCCTATGTGTGGAATCGACACTGTGCGCGCGGCCGGATCCTGGAAACGGCTGTGCCGGGAGCCCTTCGTGCAGCTCCAGTCGCTGCGCTACCTCTGCCTCGCGGAGCGCGCATTTCCGCCGCCGGCCCTCGCCCGCTGCTTTGGCTTGATGACCTATGAAGCGGGGCCGCGGACCCGCGGGCAACGCAAAGCGAGCGGCGCCGCGCGCGCGCCGCTCCCGGACGACGTCTTCAAGCTCGTCCTGTCGTTCGGCGTCGACCCACCGGCCATCACCCGCAATCGAGGGTGCGAGGCGTGCCGTTAGTACAAGCCGAGCGCCCAGTAAGCTTACAGCCGCGCCCCGAGGCTCCGGTCGTTCGTGAACTTCTCGTTGAAGATGGCGCCGTACTTCGACTGGCTCGCGGACCGCGTGATCTGGCTCAGCTCCCCGAGCGTCGGCCGCTCGTCGCTGAAGACCTTGAGCCGCTCCTGGGTCCCGTCGGGCTTGTCGAGCCAGACCTCCCAGGGGTTGGGCCACGCGCGATAGACGAAGCCCTTGGACACGGGCTTCAAGTAGTAGACCTCCTCGACGTCCGCGAGCGGCCCGCCGAGCTGGTACTTTTCCGAGAGCTGCGAGTTGAGGAAGACGACGGGCGCGCCGGCGGCCGCGCCGATGTCGTAGCCGCGCGTCCACGACGCCGTCACGCCCGGCGCGACGACGATGACGGCGTCGCCCGACTGGACGTCGACGTCCGGCGACTCGAGCGGCTTGACGACGAAGTTCTTCGGCAGCTTCGCGCAACCGGACGTGTCGACGCGGCCCTCGGCCAGCAGGACCCAGATCTTCCGCTTGGACCCGAAGGCCGGGGCGACGCGCCGCGCCCACTCGACGTTCGCG